CTACACCTGAAGGCCATCTCGCTTATTACTGGACCAAATTTTACCAAATTTCTCACATATAACCTGTGAGTCGACCTGTCTAAGACAATCGCTTTTTTCCTCGATAATGGGTAGCCGTCTCGGCCAGTTTCGACTGAAATCAGCACGATAGAGTTGTATGAGCAGACCTTGTGAGGTGCGGGTGTTTCTTATAAGTTATAGTAACAGTTTATTAAAGGGTTGTTTATTTTTGGTTTTGGGTTATTTTTTGTTAGTTTTTTGTTGTGGTTATTGTTTTGTTTGTTTGTTTGTTGTTTGTTTTGATGTTGTTGTTGTTGGTGGTGGTGGGGGGTAACATTGGGATTTTGTTAAAGACTGACAGTATGATTTATATGATATTGAGAAAACTATAACAACCCCCCCCAACCCCCCCCCCCCCCCATTTTAGATGACAAAAACAGTCTTCACTCAAAAGAATCCTTCTGTCTTTATTGAACATTTCAGCCCAAACACAATGACATACATGAAAGAATGATTTTAACTAAAAAGATCATGCTTCTGAAAAAAAAAACTCGAAGAAGAAAACGTTTTCACTAGAAAACATTCTCTGTTCATTGTCTAAAAAGGACATCAAGAAACCATGGGGCAGTATTTTGAAAATGTCTTAAATGAACTGTTTATAAGATAGAAACATTGTCAAAAATGTGTTCCTCCATCTAAAGTATTGATGGTTTTTTTCGTCAGACCCCAAAATATGCAAACCTAAAGATCATTTGCTATCTGAAACCCTGTAAATAACAGACATTAGGAAATACTATTTTATATATAATATAGATACATGCTTCACGTCTAAAAAAAATTGCTATGTCAAGAAAAATGCATAACAATAATTAAAATGATAACAATATTAATCGACACAACAAGCGAAACCTTTCAATCCCCTTTCAAAAATAGGCTGACATTGCTCCAAATTAAGTTAAAATTAAATAATATTCCACTGAAAGTCCGAAAAAAAACCCCATGCGTATCAAGATTTGTATACTTATTGTGTTCCTCCTTTTTTGCATGATTTACGTCTGGATTGCTTCGATACGGCAACTTCTGATAACCTTTTTTTTTAAAGAAAAAAGGGAAAAGGGGTGGGCGCTTTTGTGATGACAAAAGCAGCCTCAAGCCAAATGACTTTTGTGTCTATATAATACAATTGTAATGGATCACAGTGAAATCAGGCGCTCGTGAAAATAAGGATATCGAAGAAACAGTTATTTTCCCACCGGTTTGGCAATTTTTCTATCGAATTTTTATATTTTGGCTCAACACCTTTTATGTCCATTTAAAACACATTTCGGTGCGGATTTTACTGACTAACGTTGATTAAAGGCACAAAAAATACAGAAAATGTTCAGTTTCCAAGGACTCTGAAATTACTGAAGTCTCCAAACATCGGTGGCCATTTTCTAGCTAATTTTATCTCTGAAAGCAGGCAACCCCACCTCTTTCAATTGCAAAAATGTGAGCCAGCGTGGTGGAATCAGGTTCTCGTCAAAATTATCAAAGTGAAGAAACTTGCATTTTTCCACAGGCTTGTGAATTTTTATCAAATTTTTGCTTTTTGGCTCAACACCTTTCATGCCCATTAAAGAACTAATGTCTGTGTGCATTTTTCTGAAAAACGTTGATTAAAAGCGCAAAAAACTGTAAATTTTCTGTTACCACTGACTCTTAAGCTAAAAAAATAACTAATCTTTTACCTCTGAAAACAGGTAACCCTACCACCTCCTTCATTCGCAAATATCTCGATTTGTATTCAAGATAAATGGATATTTTTTTCTTCCAAATAAAGACAAGTGAACAAGCTATAAGATGATACCAATAACTCTACATGCCCAAAAATTGACGAGAGCCTGATTCCATCACGCTGCCTCACAAATATTATGTCTCGACTTCTATTTAAGCTAACATCTGCGTCTGTTGCCATTTTTTAAATCCAAAATTTGCCAAACGTTGCCACAAAGAAATGGCATAAGTTGCCATAAAAGTTGCCATTAATTTTCAAGCTTTCAACTCTCTGTGACGACGTAATATAGCAAAAAATTGATAGAGGTAACTGAATCTAAAGCACCAGAATTTCTTGTGCTCGGTTTTAAGCGCCCAGATTATTATTTGCAGCCACACATGGTGTAAAAAGGTGAAAAATAAAGGTTTCACAATAGAATTATCAAAGTTAGAAAAGCATATAAACAACCACAAAAATTAACAATTAATAAGAGCGTGTCTTCACCTATCCGAAGATTGGCAGTTTTAAACCTAAAGGTGTGAAATTCAAGAAAAAGTAGCACTACATGATATAGCATGCAAATTATGAAATCACACATAAGGGGCCTACCAGTGTCAGTATTCGGTTTTGAAGGAGACATGCTCTAACATAACAGATTTATATTTTTAAAATGAAGGAACAAACTCAAATTAAATGGCAATACGCTATATAAACACAAAAAATAGAAAAGCAACACATCAGAACAATACCAAGGAAAAAATTAACATCCCAACAAATTAAAACACAATAAAGATGGTAAATAACAGACAAAGAGCAATATACATGTAAATAGTATGTATTGTATATATTCTTCTCATGAAAAGATCTATTCATGAACATCTTAAATGTATCAAAATACATGTCTAATATGTTATGAAGCTAGCCTACATAAAAAATTATTGTCATAGAAAATGGCATTAAAAACTAAAAAAAAAAAAATTGAAGTAGGTAACAGGCTGTAAAAACATAGCCTTAGAAAAAATGACCAAAAAAACCCCCAGTATTCAAAATATAATATATAGAAGTAGCCTACAGGCTTAAATGTTTTTCAATAGAGGACTTTCTTACATGGTCCAATACCAATTAGCATGACGTGCAAAATGTTGTTTTCCTGCTAGATCTACATGGCTCCATTTTGGGACCTCATTGTAGTGCTAGTTAGCCATAAAGTGGCGAATTACTTTACTCCGTTTTGTATCCCTCTTTTGAACAAATTTATCCTTGATGATGAAAATTGTGGTTAAAAAGTGCAACAAAAAAGCTCAGCTTTGACTTTGAATCTTTAGAACAAATCAACGTTGTGTTTATAAGCGAGAATAGAGACGAAAGAAGCGGAGGTGAAAATAAACTTTCTTTCTAAGAGTAAAGAGATACGGTTTCATTTATTAATTTTTTTTGTTCTTCCAGTTTTATTCCCTGTTTTCTTTCAATGTTTTATTCCCCGGCGGTGTCCTAATTTTTTTTTAAATCAAAGGCAAAAATCGCTGCCACGATTTTCAAATGCCAAAGATCACGACCGCGATTGCCGCAATTAACGCCGATGCTAGATTACGGTAGCAAGCATTTTTTAAATTATCGGATGCAAGGCAAATGAACAAGCTTTAAGATAATACAAATAACTCCACATAGCCCAAAATTGACGAGCGCCTGATTCCACTTCGTGGCGACACAATTTTTATTTCGGCTCAAAAACGCTCACCGAAGAACTACAACTATAAGAAAAGCGAGAATACTTCTGGAGAAGAAAAGGCACACGAAAATATTCTTGTTAAAAACCAATGAGCTGTCAGTGTCTAAAAACATTATTAAGAAATCATGGGACTGTACACATGTACTTTGAATATATTTTAAGGCACTGGTTTGGACAGAAACATAATGTTGTCAGAAATGTCTTCAACTATAGAGATTGAAATGCATCAACAGGATTTAAACTCTTTTTTCCCTCAGGCCCAGAAATGCAAACTTTAAGACTATTTGTTATAAGAAGAAGCATTTATATTTTCTTTAAAAAATAGGCTAACAATTACATAATTTAAGTGAATAGAGTAAAATTCAAAAGAGATCCATCACAATAACGGCCAGGCCTATGTCATAATGTTTTACGCCCTGTTTGTACAATTTACTGATCGATCACTTCTATTCTGCCCTGTCCGGGCCATCTCATCTCTGAAGAACGACAGAGCGAGATAATAATATCATGTCTACTGGACAAAATACAGTTAGTTACCTATGTGAGAATTGATTTCACGCCTTTTCTTAATTAGTGGGCAAGAGCTGTACTCAATTTCACCACGTCACATTTCAGTATAACAAGGACCTTACTGTATAACCTCCTTGCAGCATACAAAAGTACATATTTAATGTAAATGTTGAAAGCAAGCGTGCTCCGTGGGCATTTTGGAGGGGGAAGGGGGGGGAGGGGCTGTTTGGGTTGTTTTTTTAGTGCACGAAAGATAATAAAAAACTTAATAATGATATAATAATAATAATAATAATAATAATAATAATAATAATAATAATAATAATAATAATAATAATAATAATAATAATAATAATGATAAAATACTACTACTACTAATAATAACAACAACAACAACAATAATAATAATAATAATAATAATAATAATAATAATAATAATAATAAAATACTACTTCTAATAATAATAACAACAACAATAATAATAATAATATAATAATGATAATAATGATAATAATAATAATAATAATAATAATAATAATAATAATAATAATAATAATAATAATAATAATAATAATAATAATATCTGTTACTCTCTGGTAATACCTCTAACTTTCGGCTCTTGTTTGCCCTTATTGTGCTGGGAGTGCCTTAAAACTGTATTGGTAAGATTGCCATTATTCAGTGAGACGATTAGTATTATAATATTGTACAAAAGTAGTGCTGACAAGGAGTAAAAGGACCAGACCAAACGAAAGCTGAATAGAAAATCATTCATATTAATGTCCTCAACAATCAGAGATAAACAAGGTGCAATACCAGTCCTGTCACGAGCCTCTTAATATTGCAGAATCATAACATAATGTAAATCATGATTTATTTCTCATGTGACGACTAATTATAAAACTCTGAACATTTCTGGGGTAAATACATGAACTGAATATACATAAAAAAGCAAACTCCATTTGAACATAAATGGGCATCACTAAAGTTGTCTACTATTTTTTGTTTTGCTTATTCCTTCCTTTCTTTTCCATTAAGTCGACGGTCCTGGTCAGTGGTGAACTGAAAAATGATAGAACTGGTATTTTGGCGTTGCTCCGTGGGCTGCTGTTTTCGTCAGCAAGACATCCGGTTGTTGAAAGACAAGAAAGATAGACGTCCAAAAATAACACCAGCTGTCCATTTAAATCTGTAGTTGGCCATAAGGGCTCACTAATGTTCCATCACATCACATCTAATCGCTTCACGTAGACTTATACAATTCTGTAAACAAACAGTAGAAATCACAGGTTGCTTTACAATGTAATATGCCTTGCAGCCATAAAAAAGATTGCACATTACGAATAGACTTTAATGCACGTAACAACGAAAATAAAGATATTATGTTTAGATTGAAACAGTAGCATGATATGAAGTGCTTAATAAGATTAAAAAGAAAGGAAAAGTTGCAACACCAGGGTGCATTTTATAGCAGTCCAACAGAACAATCCCAGTTAAAAGAATTCTAGTTTCTATTATTCAAAATAAGTGGCAATATAAGCAGAAGAAAAATAAATCAAGAGTAAATAATTTCTCTTTAAAAATCAATGTATAGACTATCGGTTAAAAAGCGTTAAATAAAGTCAGTTGAAATGCTGATCCAAGTCTTTGCTATCCACACAACAAAAACCACGGTGCAGTTATTTCCAGTCATTAAGTTTTACAAAAGGTCTTCTAAAATAGGAGTCATACCAATTATTTATTAAGAAAAACATGAGTTTAAACTAACACATCAATTTTTTTAAAAATATTTGGGACATAGCTATTTTTATACCCGATTTTTCCCAGATTTCCCTCTTTCACCGCTACCAGACTGAAGAATAATGGAAACAAATGATATTGTACATATATTTGAAAAAGAATAGCATAAATAAATACCAATTAGTTTTGTTATCAAACATAAGAACCAAGAAATCATCAAATTATTATATATCTCAATTCCTTCTAAATTGAGTAGATTCACAGCACACATAGTGTATTTTAAAAAGAGCAAAAGCATCAAACAAAAGCTAAGCAAAACGTTTAGAGAAGACATTGATTAAAACTCTCAGAATGAATTGTTTTGCCAAAAATGTTTGGTATTATTTGGCCAACATAAAGAGGTAAAAAAAAAAATCATGATAAAAAATGACGAAGCGCTTCTTACTTTCCGAACTTCCCTAAAATGAAACTGCAAAGAACTTATGCAAAGATCCATTAAGATTAAATTCTTAACAGCATCTCACATGCACATTTTTTCGTTAATAATCAACAATGATGGTGAAAAATATTCAAAATTACTTCCTCTGATTGTTTTGTGTAACACCCTACTAGACACAATGTAGTTGACATGGTGAGAGAGTTAAGTAAATGAAAGAATAGCAAACAACTTGAAATAAATGTTCACGAACGAACGCCACAACTCGCCGCAGAAACTAAACAAAATGTAGGACATCTCAAGGAAAAAAACAGTTGGTCCTCCATCAGGGTACTCAGCAGAGAGGAAAGAAAACCATCAACGTACATTGTGTTCTTGAATAATATTACAATACATGTCTTACTTCATATAATGACATTCAAAGGTACTTTTCTGTTTCTGTACAAATTCAAGTCACACTTAGGCCTACACCAGAGGTTTTTAACAGAAAAGAACAAACCTGACAAAGCTTAAAGCTGTGCCTGCAACAAACCCCTAGATAATGCTCCGCTTTACAACTATTTTGGCTTATGACCCTTGTTCACATGTTCAGAATGCGCTGCCTTTATGATTCTGGAATTACTTCCAGTGACCACAGACTCTGCTTGAGCAATGTTGTATTTGTAGACGTTGACGTTGAGTAGAATTCTGAAAAAGAGATTGTTAAAGAGATCGTTTTAATGCCATGTGAAATCACAATCAAATGGAAAGTGATAACATTACAAAAGGTTTTAAAAATCAACTTTATTCGAAAGCAACCAAATAGCCATAGATAGCCTGCTCGATGTTGTGAAGTTGATGACGATTTGGAAAGAAGATATTAAAAGAATACAATATAATGTATTCTTTGTCGTGCCAAAAGAGGTCTTAACCATATTTTGGAGAAAAAAAACAGAAATAAAAAGATGAACGTTTAAAAATAACTTCACTTAAGTGCAAGAGATGAACGCAATGACTATGGACACATTTTGAAACATTAAAAAGAGATATAACGTGTGGTCTGATCCTGTCTATCGGGGACAGCTAGCCGCCATGGTATATGTCTGGGCTGAAAGACGTAGATACTTTATAAATAAATGTCTTCCTCTGCTGTCCTTTGCGGGTAAGGCAAAAAGCTTAACAGGCTTCCCAATTTTTGTTGGTACGTGCATTAGGCCTATGTTACTAACTCATTAGGCTTGTGAGAACACTTTAGCCTTTGCATTAAAAGTAACAGCAGCATATATAGTGAAAATTAAGATTTTAAACAAAGATGAATATATTGAGCGGAATGGCGTGTTTACGGGTTGTGATTTTTGAAGTAATGGTCACTCAGTATTTTGTGTATAAGTGTTGAAGAAGGGTCTTTGCCTGGAACTTCCAATGTTAACTTCCTGTGCCGAGGCTATTGTACAACCTCTTCAACGATCGCCTCAAAGTATTGAGCCTCTTGCATTTCCAATGGTAATATGGCAGCTACTTCTGTAGAGATAGTGCAAATTGCTACCTTAAAATTGCAAAGTTCTATCTGACATTTTTGGCAATTTTGAATATCTAAAACCATGAGGTAAGAAAACAATCTCTATCTGTTTTATAAAAACAGTAAGATTATTTAGAGTTTTTATCAAATCTGTTAAGACTGTACATTCCAACTCGCAGTTTAAGATCATCAGCTGACAAAAAGAAATTTATTTTACCATCTATGAAACTTAAAACAATGGGTGAAAGGGCATTTGAATACCAAGGCCCCAAGATCTGGAATGCTTTACCAAGTACATTGAGAGAAATCAAATCTTTGATTCATTCAAATGTCAGCTGAAGTCGTTTCTGTTTTTAAATTAATAAGATGAATATTTGGAATAATTTTCTTTAGTCAGAACACAACGTTTCATGTTACTGTTGTATGTATACTGTATTGTAAAGCGCTCAGAGCCTGTGTACTTTATTCGGGGTTGAGCGCTATATAAATGTCATTTATTATTATTATTATTATTAGTTGTTATGACTATGACGATATTCGAAGAACTGCATTCGAAAAAGCTTGACATGTTGTGGAACTCGAAAAATATTGTGACGTCGAATTTCTCAAAGCTAGGTACTGAGCAGATAGAGCTTTGAAAATCCAGGGTAACGAAATAGACCTATTACGTGTGAAAGACACGGAGGAAACAAAAGAATCGTATACAACTAATCTCACCGTGACTCATTGGCGTTAGCTTCACTGTACTGGGATGAAGGACCGTGGCTTGGCCTTCTTCTGAATCGACCATCATTGGATCGGTGTGATGACATACTAGATTTTCTGCTCCTGAAACGAAAAGTAAAAAAGAAAAATAGTGAAAACGTGAACATTCTATTTGTGTAACAAAGGGGTTGGACTAATTGATTAATTATACCGAAATACCGGTAACCTAAAACAGACAAAAAGGGTTCAACAAGCCCTCACATTATATATTATACATTAGAGTTAAATCGAGGTATGATACATTAGGAAAGGGCTGGACCAGCATTTCTGGGAGTACCGCAGGTAAGATCAAGGAAATGAGAAAGAAACTGTGGTCGTTGCCATTTCTTTAGAAGACAAGTGATTTGCATTCAGAGTACCGAAATGTTTCATGGCATACGAACCAGTGTCACAGGTATGAAAAAATGTTAGTCATGTTATTTGAACTTGCAATGTGATTATAATGGCATAAAGATGCTTATTTCACAAAAATTGTTATTAACAATGCAACTGAGTCAGAGCAAAAACGTATTAATTTTGTCTAATGACCGACAACGAGGTCAAGAGAAAAAGTTCCAGGTAAACAAGACCCGACGTCAGATTCGAACCTCAGAATTCTACACTTCAGTAAAGTTTATTAAAACGAATTATTCATAACATCTGGTTGCAGAAACTGTTCATTTTAACTCCAATAAAAAGTGAATAAAATGTTGAAGTGTTTCTGATAGTTCAAGGTTCTGTATCCCAAAGAAAACTCGGGACTTCACAATAACCACACAGGCCAGCAAGTTCATTTTAGTCTGCTACTACATATTGTATAACCCCAAAGGCGTTATGATTCACATATTATTTCATACGGTAGGTTTTCTCTTAAAAATCTCGGACAGACACTTAATACTTTGAGCCCTGTCAACTCCCCCCCCCCTCCACCCCTCGTTTAAAAGACTCGTGCATCAGAGCTCTCAATGGATGACTGATAGAGATAGTTACACTATCCAATATGCAATTTTATGTACTTTTTCAGGTTTCTAGTTTTTTAGTGTGTTTTTTCCCCGCGGTGATGCCAGTGTCGAATTGTGGTGATATTATTACTTTTTATGCTGTTCTCAGAAGGATTTTAAAAATCTACCCCCCCCCCCAAAAAAAAAAAAACACCCAACCAAACCCAAACGTATGTCATACTATGTATGTTGGTGCCTGCCTTTCAATTTTTTCAAATAAAGAAAGACAAAACTGAAAAATCTGTAATATGAATAACGAAGTTATAATCATATGCTTTCTTCAAACACTGTCGAATGACCAGATCACACGTCCCGGATGAGTTGAGCAAGTGATGAGGCATTTGTTCATCAGTTCATCTTCCTACCTGGGTGACTGCTGGTGTTCTAGTGCGCTGATAGCAGTATTTAAGACTTCAACCACATTTTCTTGGCTTGCTTCACTAGAACTGCAGAGAAAGAAAAAAAAAAGAATTCAACTAGAGCGACAATAAAATCATAAGTTTGCACCAAAAATAAAATTAATTTCATCATTTTGGACAATAAACATCTCTTGTTCCCTCCAAAAAAAAATATCGGTCAGAAGTAAAAAAAAACACCTGGGCTTCTGATCTGTAACAAAGAAAGATATAGAAGATCATTTTTACCATCATCCATCAAAATTCTTCCATCTTAGCCATCTTGTTACAAGTTTTCATATAACCTTAGAGCATGCATCAGAATACCACTGAGTTACAATCAGAATATTGAGTATGTATCTAGTTTAACATTATTTTTATATTACTGTCCATTTGTATCATGCATGTGACCTGCGTGGGCGTGCTTGTTTGTTTGTTTGTGTGTGTGTTTGTGTGTGTGTGT